TTCAGCAGGTGCCCTGGCACAGAGCGCTGCTACCCGGCGAACTGCTGCGGGAGGAGGGGCACCCCCCTCCTGCCCCCCGTGCGGCCCTGCAAGGAGCCCAGTGAGGGGCCCGGCCTGCCTTGGGAAACTAGGGGACAGAAATGAGAAGGCAGATTGCCCATCTACAACGTGTTCCAAAGACAGGTTACGGATAAAACAATTCTCTTGTGGCTGCTGCTTGACAGTTGTGCATTCCTAGGGCTGGGAAATCTAACAGACACGTGTACTCAGAACTGGGTTGCACAAGCTCTAGCTGAATAGGCTAAAAGATTTATTTTCCAAAGGCCAATTTAAAAATAATGCCTGGTTGCGTTTTCAGAAAACATACACGCTCTCCTCCTCCCCTCCATATTTACAGTTTAATCAAAGCTGGTTTAAGTGGATTGACAGTTTACAGTTAAGTGACACTTTATTATCAATTCCTGTGTAGTTCAGGATCCTTTGCTATACAGGCCACGCTACATCTTACGGTCTCATCTAGCTGTAGCAATCGTTCCTTACCTATGGAGGCAAGGGTTTCTCGGATCAGCATGCCAACCTGCATTTGGTACAACTTCCCATTCTACCAGCAAAGTGGAGAGTTGATCACCATCCAGCACAGTGGCTGCAGACACTGCCGTGCGTCAAAATAAATCTGGTTCTATATGCAATATCCTTTTTAATGAGTATTATTCTGCATAGTACCTGCCTGAAACAAGTTTCAAAGCATGTATTTGGATTAAGAATCCTTTATTACTTTTTATTTTTTATGGATGATGCATTGTATTTTGTTGGGAACTTCACTGCTATGGTCAGAACCCTCACTGCAGGAACTACGGACATAGGTCACACAGGCTGAAGTAGACATGACAAATCAGCAATTTGCAGAGTAAGAACAGTGCAGTATCTTCCTGACTTTTGGCCAGAATTCCATTTTCTGTTCCTGTACCAACTGCTAGGACCCACAGGCATGAACTGGATGATTAGAACTGTAATTCAGTCAGAGAGAAGTTGCAAACCTGAGCTATCACTAATTGAATGAGTACTGTGCAGTAGGAAGGACAGGCAGAACGTGATAAGGAAGCACTGTCCCAGACAGAAACAAAAATTACTTACAAAGCAGACCAAGTGTTGCTAATACTCAGTGCCATAACAGATTATTCTATTAAAAAAAAAAATCCCAGCTATGCATAATTTGTAATACCTGATGTAACCGAGCCAGTCTTGCTTCTTTCTCTAGTGGTACAACTATACTTCAACCCAACATTCAAAAAGCCAGTGACCATGTTTTCCTTAAAAAAAAAAAATAAAAATAAATAAATAGGCCAGTAACAAGAAGTTCTTAGTGGAAAGAATTTCTTAGTGGATTTGGAAGACAACTACTCAGAAAAAGTTGACTTCATTTCTGAATATGTAACTCTCATTGAAACACACAGCATATGCAAAGCAGCACCTCTTGGAACCCAGTTTGAAATTACTTTAAGCGAAGTGTGATTTTCAAATACTGAACCTTTTTGTTAAATCACAAATTGATTTGCCAAGAGTGGCAAATACTGTGCATACTTTTTATGATGTGTGAAGGTTGGGCATGTGCTCAAATTCGAATGCAAAGTACGTTTCTTTTCAGAAGCAGTGCTAAAGAAATTTGCTTCACTTCTGCCCCAAAGTTTGCTTTCCATGCTTCTGTGCCTTCACTGGCTTACCATTATGCCACAAAACTAAGTCTTTTTAAAGGGTGTTTATCTGCAAGGTATTGCTCAGAAACTTGTAGATGAGAAAGACATTTAGGTAGTACAGCTGAAATCTGTAAATGCTAAAATTCAGGTGAAATGATCTTTAAACTTCTCAAGACACTATCATACACAGAACTATCGGCAGTTGAAAGAAGACAGACAAGCAGCAAATGGTGATTATGACACTGCTAAACCTGATCCTGACTTTAGCTCTCACATCTCATTCCACCGTCACTAATTTGTATTAAGACTCCTGTGAGATTTAAGACAAGTGGGAAAGATTGTTAAGTGTTTAAGGCAAAGATTATCCTGTCTTCCTTATGCAGTAGGACAGAGTTAAACCCAATTTTTCCTTACTGCAGTACAGGCTTAAAGCTCTTACAAAGCTTCCATGTGCAGAGATCAAACATCTCCGCTACTTTGAACAGAAGCCTCACTTTATGATTTTTCAGTATTTCTGGTGGAGGACAAAGCTTATTTTGCAAACCTTGATCTGAATTGCTTCATTTATACAGTTCCTAGTTCCCAACATTTTTGTACACAATTTGGCATATTTCTTATCTACATGTAAGACATACAGTCTCCACAAGCTGACACTGTACAGCTGGAGTCTGACAGCTGCTTTACAGCACAAGGGACACACTAAGAAAGATGCAAAACTAAAACATGTAAAGCAGAGTTCTTTGAAAACACTGTTACTTTAATGCTTGTTCCTTGGGACTTCAAGTTTTGAGTAATTAAGTTTTCCACAAGACATTTG